ACGTTTCTTGTTATCTCCCCTTTTTTCCTTTTATTTTCTTCGGGATGTGCAATTTCGCGAGTCTGCTTTCCATTGAACGATTGCCGACCGATAAGCGCGATCGATCAATGTTTGTTAATTCTAAGAGATATAAGGAAACGGATCAATAGTAATATTCAGTGTGCAATAAGTTTTATCGAACTCGCGATGATTGATTCACGAATTAACGGTTTCCATTTCAGATTATATTCAGCTGTTTACTTGTTGAAACGGTGAGAAAATACAATCGACGCGTTCACTGTTGTCTAGTTCTATTTGTTTCTATTATTACTATCACGCTCGTTAACTAGTATGCTCAAGTTGTTTCTCGTTTAGACTTTAATCCGTCGAATTGACAAAACATTTTTCGTTATAGGATAAATGTAAGCGGTTATTAATTTCCTAGCTGTTCTTTAGATTAACGCACGGGAGACTATCAATAGTAAGTCTTTTAAAGGCTACAAATGTTCAGCAGTGAACGTGTTCAAGGATCATCGACGCATCCTATTTACGAAAGAATTCATCGAATGCGATGATGGAACGATCTCTACGTACTTATATCTTCGAAAGCGTGTTAAATGTGTGCGTCGAGAGGGAAGGTTGAACATTGAAAGGAATAGAGAGACCTCCTACGTATCGTAGACAGAAGCTTTTACAAGTTTTTTAGCAAAATCTAAGCACGCTCGCGGGCGCGTTTCATTTTACTCCGTGTGTACAGAGATTATCCAATCGTTCTGATCAGTCTCAGGGAAATATCCGTATGCGTATTCTCGATATCCTATGCGTTGCATCGATTTGAATAGAGACGCGACCAGGCATCTCTGGTTGATCGACGGATGAACGTTCGTTAAGATTTATGTTATACCGATTTCTTCGCGATGTACAGTAGGCATAGAGAAAGAGGGACACCGTTTTAGTCTTCGTACGTTGAACGAACGTTTCCGGTCTGTCGCCGTGATCGACCGATGACTGGTGGCTCGCTCGCTGCTCGTTTTAATTTTATTTAGCTGACGATTTCAAAACTCGAATATATTACCGAACAATACCGTGGACGGGGTGCAGTTTATACGTGTACATAACTTATTTTCGAATAAAAAGCTAGTGTCACCTGCCATGCAAATGTATGCATCGAAGGATTGGATTCCTTCGCGGTCAGTGATCCTATATGCGATTCTTGTTAAAGAAATAATCTGGAACGAAGTTTAGGACAATATAGGGAAAAAGAAAGAAAATATATAATATATATATATATTATATATATATTATATATATATAATAATATATATAAATATATAAATATACAAATATATATAAATATATATAATAATATATATAATATATATATTATATATAATATATATAATATATATATAATATATATAATATATATAATATATTATATATTATATTATATATGCCACATATTATATATATATAATATATTACATATTTATATATAATATATTATATATTATATTATATATGCCACATATTATATATATATAATATACATACTTATAGTAGAAGTAAAATAGATCGAAAGGCGCATTGGAGGGTGGCGAATCAAGATAGGAAGGGCAAAGTAACTGTACGTATTGTGCGTGTGATGTACCTTTTAAATGTAAAGTAGATACCGAATATAATAGTGTAAGTAGTTAAAAAGAACACGACACTTGTTCATACAAACTATAGGGGCGTATACACATATTTACGCATGTGTAATAGCATAAAGCATAAGGAAAAGGGAAAAAATCCTGCGTCTTAGATTAACTCGAGGCAGAACATTGTAATTTCAGCGAAAAAGGAAGCTGAATAATACGCTATTACGGGCGTATGTATATATATACACACAACACGCAGATACTTTCTTGCAATATAATAGGGGCTATTGCAGTTACTATCGCTAACTAATAATAATAATAATTATTACCAATACTACTACCGGTCACCGAATACTACTACGAATACTACGATTACCGCTATTACTATTTACTATTTGCCACTACCATTACTATAACTACCACAACTACTATTACTACCACTGTCACGACTATCCGCTTTTTTTATTGTACGATATATACATAATACCGAACTATGAATGTACATTTTCTTAGCTGTAACGTCTCCTCTTCCTCCATTGTAATTTATATATTATATTTGAGAAATACTTCTAAATGTGTTGAGAAAAAAGAAAAAACCGCTGCTGCTTTAGGAGAAGAAGGAATTCTATGTGAGAAAGAACAAAATATATTATATATAAATATATAAATATATAAATATATATGTATATATACGTACATATATATATATTTTATTTCAGAAGTTTAGTTTAATGGATATATAATGTTAAAAAAAAAATACGCGAGGAAGGATACAAATTAAATTCTCTCTGTGATTCGTCTAAACAATGGAACTAAGTAAACAAAAAAAAAATGAAGAAAAACAAAAAAGAAGAAAGAGTTATGGTTATATTAATTAATTAGTATTATTATTGTCATTGTCATTTATCATTGCTCTGTACCGCAAGTTTACCGAACAACAAGTCACAATGGACCGACAAACTCGATTTTCGTAATGAACTCGACTCGTGATTTTCTTTTCGCTAATAACAGTAACGAGTTATCCTATCGATGTAATAAAAACAAGTATTTTTACCGATCTCTGCGACTTCTTGATTTCTCTAAAACCTTTCCTCCCGTTTGAGAGCTTCGAACTGAAAAAGTATAATTTGAAATTTTTTAAATTTATATTTAAATTTTGAGATCTGAAACTCTAAATTGAAACCAGTCAGAATTAAGGAGAATCGCGCTCAAAGGAAAGACAGGTGACACAGATTTAAAATTGGTAAAACGTTTATTAACTATTTAAAAACGATGAAACAAGGTGAACATGAGATTGACAATTCAATAAGTAATATTATTAAATAGACTATAGAGATGTATAATAAGTGTCTGTAGTAATTATTCTCTTTATATGTTCCTTTACATCGAGACAAACGTCTTTTTCATCATTTTACTTCCTCCACTTCTTCCTCTATTATTTTTTTCTAAAGGTTGTCTCATTACTTTTCGGCGAAGCCAAACCTTCTCACTTTTCCTTTAATTTTTCTGTTTTCAGGCACGTCCTGTGCGATAATATTAATACGTCAACGTTTCTTGCCATTCGATTCATCCTTCAATTGTCGATAATACGACTCCCTTTTTACTTATTCTCCCTCTTTTTTTTATTTCTTTTTCTTGTAAATGCGTGTGACGGCTGTTGCGTTAACGATTCTAAACACAGGATTCTGTCGTAGGAAAAATAGCTCGTAGAAAGCGTACCCTTGCTAATTATTATTATACCCGACAGTCAATCAATGTCGTTCGATCGCGCGAATCACATCCTACGAATAAACTAAAAACGGAAGGAAAAAAGAACGCGAAATCGGCCCTTTTCGCTCGTTCAACCGAAGGAAAGGCAATTGACGAAACGATCAGCGGAATCGCTTGCACGATCGGCGATTATGAAATAAGAGATGTAGGTGTGTGGTCATTGCGACGATATACAGTTTTAGCTACGTACAAGCTCTGACTAAACGAGCATTCTCTCCCAAACGATGCATCTTGCGTTAAACTCTCTCTTTATTTCATAACCCTTGCTACAGTTTCATTACATCACCCTTCCTATACCATTTCCTCGGTACGCCAAATGCTTTCGCATTTTTCTATTTACTCATAAGTACTGTGTATTTCGATGAGCGACTTCCTTCGTCATTTCGTATCCACTCGTCCAGATTTAATGCTCAGATATGCAGATCTGTCTTCAACACAGGACACGTAACGTGATCGAAATGATGCCATTCGATGATTCTTCTCGTGATTTTTTCATTTTTTTAATCGCCTGTGTGAAAATGGCTCAATGACGGAGGCGTTTCGTTAATCTAGATAATGCTGAAAGTTATTCGCAAAATTTTTGCATCAGAATTGTTATAGAACGCGGACTGTTTGCGAGACCTGTCCTTGTTAATATCTGCTCCGTTTTCCTTCTATCTTTACGCATACGCATCTAGCTTTCTATAGATTGGCACGGGCCAATCGTAGAAAACGAAACTCGAAAGTAACGGTTCCTCTTTGCATCGGATGTGTACAATTCGTCGCGTCATATCCTTGTTTCGATACGCTCGAGAAATACTCGCTACCACCGCTTCCTGATCGGTTACACGCTACCACCATATACCATCTCGATTACCCGGATATAGATATTTACAATAATATATATATATATATATATATATATATATATATATGTATGTATGTATATATATACCTACTATCGTAATAATAATTTAGTAGTGCTATTTAAATTACAATAGCGTTCATTCTTTCTCTCCTTGCTGCTCGTTTCGCCCTCTCTCGCGCGCTTTCTATTTATATATATTTTTATTTATATGTATATATAATGTTGCACATAACCCAGTACTGGCTTAGTAATCTAGCTGTACAAAACATTATATATCGCTATTCTAGTATCTAGAGATTTGTCCTGTGAGGTTTGATGAATCGTGAGGTTCGTAACATGCGCCTGGATCTTATCGCTTCTTGTTCATTTTCTCTATTTTATTTGCTTTTTTCTCTTTCTTTTTTCGCCTTTCTCAACATAGCAAGAAAAAAAAAAGAAAAAAAAGAACATATCGTGGAACAGACTCTCAATGAGAATGTCCCATTATCCTGCTTTTCTATCTATTTCTTTTCCTTTATATCCTTTATATCTATATCTATTTCCTTTTCCTTTATATCTATTCCCTTTGTCCTGCCAGTGCATTCTAATACGTTCGAATTTCATCTCGTCAGACAATGAATGTTTTCGATTCCCTTCTGTCTCTTGTTCGCTTCTTATTGTGATTAAGTACATTAAAAAATACCGCGCTACTTCGCTCAGAATTAACCGGACCAAGCTATACATATATAGTATGTTCGGTGAAGCCAAGTATTATGTTTTATTGATTCTTTTTTTCATTTACTTTATTTTTCAGTATATTCTCGTACCTTGTCTCGTTTTCTTTCTTCATTGTTACGCTTTCATCGCCGTAATCGTCGCGATTTGCGCGTGAAAAATTCTTTGTTTAAGCGTCTAACGTGCTGTGCGCGTCATACAAATAATCGCGACGAAAATCTATCTTAAACATCTATTATCTTTTATTATTTTTTTGTTTTCTCGCTCGTATCCTCTCGGTTCACCTCTTTCTCGTTCAACTTCGGCCAAATGCCGATCATTCGTTTATTACTCGCTATTCTCGTCGTATTTTCAAGCAATTGCGTGAACTGTATACATACAACATAACACACACAGAACACGTCGCGATTCGATCAATCGAAGAACCGCGACGCTAGTCTTTCGGTAAAACACACGTCTTCTCGACGAATCGGCTCCGTTGCGCCGGTCGAGTCGTCATGCACACGCGTTAAAATCGATACCGAAACGAATACACGATGCAGTCCTCCGTGCTTTTCTCTTACGTTGCAAATTACGAAGTAACTTTACATTCTTTGTTGCGACAAGGAGGTTGATTCCTGTAAACGATCAAACTGCCGTGTATTCGTGCTTGACGTCTTAACACAGTGATAAAAATTTAACGTGATGACAAGTACGCGACGATGCTCGTAATCTTGCTCAACAAACCCACTCGTCAAGTGGAAATCATGAGAAAACATCGTAATACAACGAAACACTTCTGGTATTAACATTATAACATGTATCCTTCCTCCTAACAATCTCTCGGTGGAAGGATCCTTAAAACGCCTTAAATATTCTGCGATCAGATCTCTCGTCGAAACGGATAACAATTACAGCTGGAACACGCCATTTACTGTTTTATCCTTATATAATCAACAATGAAACCTTTCTCGCGGCGTGAACGATCGCGAGTTACAAGTTCTCGCGATGGAGACTTCGAACACGTTTCGAAGCATGCTCAATTACTATTATCCTCTGCCTATTCTCTTAACCTAATCTCCTCCCATGAACGTTCTACTCCTCTAAACCTTCACATACTGTCAGCTTTATTTGATGCGAAGTCTTCTTTTTTCGACGAGCTTGGTGCGCGGCTAACGCCTTAACTGGAACATTGTGCTACTTGATTGGGCGGGTGTGTGTGTGTGGAAGGTGGGTTGAAGTGAGGTGGAACGGGTTTTGGGACAGGGACGGGGAAGGCATTAGAGAGTTACTCGATTATTTTATTAAGAGTAATTAAGCTTGACGCCTCGGAGGTAGAGTCCAAGCGTTCGGACCGGGCTGAGCGTGGGGGGCAGGACGTCACAGTTGCTGATCTCTGCACGGTACCCAAATGTTCGGACCTGATTGCTCGGCGATTACCTCCTTTACCTTCACGTAGATCTCTTCGGGCGTGTCACCTTGCACCACGGCTGCAACATAACGAAGGTTTCCATATCAATAACTCAATCTTATAATTGTCGTCGATTGCTCGTTGTGCCAATTAAATTATCGGACTTATCGATAAATTACTCGTTTCCGAGTTTCGTAATAAAACAATCATTATATTATTGGAAATCACTTACCAGTAAAGTATTCTCCAAACTCTTGCTCCATTTTCAGTGCTCGTTCGTACGTTTTTTTCGCTTGCTCTTCAGTCATCCTCTTGTTCATTTCCCTTTAAATACGAACAATCGCTCGTTAAACTACACTTCAATTTTCGAACGAATCGCCGAAAGCATTGTCACTTACATAACTGATTCCACGGACTTCGGTTTAATGAAAATGGCGATGGGATACAGCTGCGCCACTTGTAACCTCTTGATGGCATTTCCGCTCACGTCAAGAATACAGTGTTTCCCCTATATTAGTCGCAGATGAAATTTTTATTAATTTGTAATATCAAACATCGTTATTTGGTTTTACGTTCGGATTGATTTTTATGAATAATTTGCTTCCCCTTACCTTCTCAGCAACTTCTCGCACGGACGCCACGGACGTGCCATATAGATTATCATTGTACTGTCCGGCCTCAATGAACAAGTGATTCTGAATATCCCTCTCCATCTGTTCCCTAGATGCGACGAAATGATAATCACGCCCGTCCACCTCGTACTCTCTTCTACTCCTCGTTGTATCTGCAGAAATAAGAAACGTCCAACCATCTCCATAAACTAATTTTATTATTCGCATAAGTAATTGATCAAACGAATCTTTGAAACTTCGAATATTTAACAAATACTAATCGTAAAAATAAGTATGCAATTACATTGGAGTATTAACATAGGATATAGTAGCATTCGTGAAATTTCGTTTCACGTTTTACTAAATTTTTCGAAATAGTTAAATTAAGATGAATTTCATGGAGCAACAAATTTTTAACAATGTGAATGACTTAGGTAACAAATATGATATTTTGCAGAAATTAAACGTTATGATGTAGAATATTTCAATTTATTCCGACTGCCAGGGTAAAACATGTACGTTTTCAATGGTAGTCGACGTGTTAACTTAAAAAGAAATATACTACAGTCGTAATGAAAGAACAAATTGTATCCGACGAGCAATGTTCGCGAAATCCGAGGAAATCTCGCGATTCGTGGAAGCAACGCGTGACCCAAATCGCCAGGCGGGCTAGATTAAACTTTGTTTCAACTCACGTGGCACACAGCTGCCGAATTTGTCCGGGAATTCCGAGATGAGGTCGTCATTGATGCGATCCTTGAGAGGACCGAGGATAATGACAGGTCGGGTGTACTGTATGGTGAGCTGCTGGACTGCCTCGTACGACAGCACGTTTTCTTCGCTGCCTGTAATTTCCAGTATAAAGTACACTCGTATTTCCGTGACGACGGGGCTTGTGGTAAAAAGCTTTTGTTATCCTCGGTTAGATTATTTGCACTCTTTCAAACAGCTATGGGAAACAAATTAGTTTCTCTCTCGATTTAAGAAACTTTTGATCTATTCGGACGAGAGAGAACGACACGGTCGATTTCGAAATACTATTTTCGATTACAAGAAACTTTCATATAAGTAGATACGAGTATACATATAACTATATGCTGGTTATGGATAATACAGAAACGCGACCGGGAATGATTATTATACTTTGCTGTTCACCTCGAACGAGAAATGATCCATGCTTTAGCACCTAGGAAATCGAAGCAAGGTAAAAGGGACTAAAAAAGGTTGGTAAGCTCTCTAGAGTCTAGAAACTTAGGCGATCGAAAAGTATCAAGGTCGACGTGGCATTAGTTACGTGGTGACTATGCTAATACACTCGATGGCGATAGAGATCGTGTTTTGTAATCGATACTCGATACTACGTGATTACAACGGTTTTAACACGATTACCAGGACGCGTCGCTTCTCGTTGTTACCGACGTGCTTCTTTCAATTTTCATTGAATTTTCCTTGGTAAATGGTTTCAAACTTGAGTCTGGAACCTCTAAAATATGAATGTGTGATTGGAAATTTTAGAGAAGCGACGCGATTTCTCGTGCTCTACGTAAGGTTTCTGTGACTTTCGTTAAAAGTCTACACGAGGATAATTAGTATTACAGAGAAATCAAAATCGGCAGAAAAAATAGACAGACACAAAGCACGTCGCGACTGTCCCAATTGCGCGGAGCGTTTTCAGCGTTTGGTCAGTGCTCGTGGGCAAAGAGTGGTGAGAATTAAAAAACAGAGAAAAAGGCACAAAAATTAAAAAGAAAAACATAGAAAAGTAAAAAAGGAAAACAAGAAACAATAGTTGCTATTAAAAAAAGAGGATCCGTACGACGATCGAAATCGCGTTTCGATAGCTTGTTAGTGAAGGACCTAAATTGGTATCTGTTGTTCACTCCTGTTTTTTCACACACTATGACTCTTTTTTTCGTGTATTGTGCATCACTTACTACACTCGTCATTATTCTTATCGTCCTCCTGTTCCAGATAAACTAACGTCAGTTCCTCCATATAAGGCAGTTCGACACGATACAAAATTTCTCTACTCCCTGCGACGTAAGACAGATATCTTTTTATGAATGAAACAGGTAGAAGAAGCGCGCGGTGAAATGTGAGAGGAGATGCGAATGAACGTGTAGTAACACGCAGACGGGACCGCGGGTTTCGTTCCATGACAACAGATATTAGCTTCGAAGAAATCTAGCGAAGCTTTACACGTGGAGGACGTTTCATTGTACCATATGCCGGCTTTTGCTCGTTTTACGATTGTTGAAGGGATGAAAGTTTGAAATGTAATTCTTTGTAAATGTCATGGATCATTGATGATTCGAGCGAGGTACAATTTGTTAATGCAGCAAGGGATGGTTATAGTGCTACTGATATTTTGAAATTTTATGACTCTATACAGAAATTTCGACTTGTTTACCCATTCCAGATGACCTAGTTCTAAATTTAAATTTTTGTATTCTGAGTTGAAATTTCAGCGTTGAATATTTAAACCTACATTTGTAAATTTTAAACTTAAATTCTTTAAGCTTAGACATGCATCCCTTAACTTGAATCCTTCGTTTCCAAATTTTCAAACACTGAATTAGAGCTTCGAGACTTTTAACTTCAATCTCAAATAAATTGATACTGCATAATGTTACAGAATATATAAAAAAAGAGAGAGAGAGAGAGAGAAAAGAAATAGAATATAATGAAGACTAAAACAAGAAAAAGGGTCCATTATTCCGCTAGTGAAATCAGTTCGATTGCTCGGCTCGTAGTTTCTCTTGGAAGTCGGTGGGTTCGTTAATCGACAATGCGGCGAGAGGCAGAACGCGGTATTCAAAAGTGACAACGCGCCACGACAAAAGGACGTTGTCGAACAATGCGTTCGTCCCGCGAACGGATCGTTATATCGCAGTAATGAACGTGTGCTTTGTTAATTGATGCGACCGAGATGAAACGAAGAGAACGAGGGGTTTGGGGAATGGAACGGTAGGGGGGAGGGGTCGGAATACATAATGGGGACTGGAATGAAAGGCAGGCAGAGAGTAGGGGAACAGAAAGAAGATACAAATACGTATGTATATAGGAACGGATGAGACAGAAAGAGAGAGACGTGATTACCTTCGGTGTTAGTGTCGTCCTGGGTGTAGCACAGCATGAATGCTAAAACATAACAAGTTCAATATTTCAGTATACGTTGCGTACTAATAAGCGGCCGTTAATAATTGCTAGGATTAATTAAGCTTTAAGCATGAGCAATCATCTTCTCCACCGCGCGGGGCTAGCTCGAGCTTTTCGAACAGCCCTGATTGGCCCATCGTGATAGCTCGCACGATCGCTCGTTTTTCCGCGGTGCACGCGAGTTTCGCTCGTTACGTTTTATTCGCTTCGTTAAACTTATAAATTCACGGTGACTATTTATTAGTACCGGAGAAAATGTCAGTAAAAGGAGCGAACATTCTATAAAGTAAAACGTTTTCAAGTCGTTCCGTTCACGATAGAGAAATGATGCAGCTACAGAGTTATAGAGTGATCGTGCTTTCACTGAGAATTCTAAAAGTAATTAGAATTCTAAGACCTACTTCTCTTGAAAATGGTGCCAGATATATCTTAACAGAGATTTGCTTCAGAACAATGAATATAGTATTTCATGATTTTCACGTAGGGACAACTTTCGTCATAAGTTCAATAAGTTTCACAATTTTCGTAAATATAGTTTTCCACGTACCAATCCTTTTGCACTCGCGCGACGATCGGAAGAAATGTGAACGAGCAACGTCAAAATTTCCGTTCACCATCGATCACTACACGTGCTGATATTTCTACAAGCATTCGAGGGTGGCTCTACCATTACTACGATCCACCATAAAAGGTTAGCCAGTTAGAAAGCGAGTCGAGTAAAGTGTCACAGTTTGCTCGATCGCGATGTTAGTGACCAAACGCATGATGCGAGTATAATTGGTGCAAAGATGAAGTTGCAGAGTGCTGGGCGCAAGCATAGAAAAGGATGTACGAAAGAAGAGACCTCTCGAGAAGCGTAACTAATTCACAGGGTCGCTGATATCGTTTCTGTCTTTCCTTGAAAAATCTTTCTTCTTTCTCGTCTTATCGATTCTTTTCGTATATTGATTTCTCGATATATTTTTTCGTATTAAAAAACCAAATAGAAATGTACGTGCACGCGCGCTCGTGTGTTTCGTGTATGGTATAACGTATGTGTGTATGTGGGTGTATCATGTGATTGTATCTTGTTTCTTCTTGTTGACTAACTTGGAATACTTACGTGTAGGATCGTTTTCGTTCTCGGGTGTCGTGGGCGACCCTACACAAGCAGGCAAAAACAAAACACATGTCACGTTTTCACATGGTAAAAACACAAAAGCTCAATCGGAAGTTGGGCGTATTCGTCGTACTTGTCACGAATTACTAAATGACCTTAACTTGCCAACGCACCTTTAAATGGGCTTTCAGATTCGAAGAGATTGCGTTCCATTTATTTTACGCTTTTCCCGTTACGTTCCCGATACGATTCTTTTTTTTTTTTTTTTTTTCGTCGAGTTGACTTTGGTGCATGTTTAATAAAAAGACTTTCTACGTTAGTATCGGTCAGTCAAAGGGAGTAAAAATAAAAAAAATAAAGAACAATCAAACGAAAGGGTAAACAATTGAGTTTATGAAGGGTTTACGAACCTCTAATAACTTCGAATCGTTCGAGAATTAATCTTTATCGAGGTCATCCATTCGATAGATTAAGTTGAAGAAAAAAAAAAGAAAAAACATAAAAAAAGGACATAGAATCATCGTTGTAACGGAGGGATATCAAGACACATGTAAAAAGTACTAATTATAAGATCAAACATAATATGATCTAGATAATATATATACATATATAGTGACTGAGAATTACGACGACAATTAAAAAAATTTTCACGTAAAAAGACCACAATAGGTAATATATACGGGTCTGAACATGCACAGAACGTGCAGGATACAAATTGGTCATGTTTCAAGACACTCACGTTCCTGATCTGAACCATCTTCAGATTTGTCGTCCTTACTCTTCATGAACGGGAACTTCCTACTGAATGAGAAGTTCTTCTTCTTTCTATCCAGTGTTGATTGCTGTGATAACATAATTATATCTTCTTGTCAAACGCTTTTCTTTTACATTCTTTTTAATAAAAATATCATATAAATATTTAAAAAAATATCCATAGTCTATTCTAATTTTAATATTTTGCTTCAATTTTTCTAATTTTGATTTGTAATCAATATATTGATACGACCCCGTCGTCCTTCTTCTTGATTTCACGCACAGCCGATCGAACGAACTCACCTTGTCGAGGATGACCGGCATGTGGCCTTGGAATTTGACGGAACGATCCCTGGCGCGTTGCTTCCGTTCCCATCGTCTGCGTGACGGTATTATGCCGAGACCCTCCTCTTCGCCCTGAGGAGTCACTCTTCTGGCTTGCCACCATTCATCGTCGCTGGCATTCGTCACGTGTAGGATTTCACCGTAACGGAATGCCAAACCGCGGCTCGGCAGGCCGTCGTCCTTGTTAGGATCGTAGTCGAACAACGCTCTGTGAAATTGGATGGAAGTCATTTACGGTGTATTCGTGATTCTTTCGTTTAAGACTCCCATCTTTACTTATATTGACTTAACTTATAATAGCACTACCGTTAAGAAATGTAGGTTTGCCTTTGGCTATACGTGCTTTGAATCTTGGCGAGCGAATTATTTGAGAAGAAAAGCTTCGACTCTATCTAAAAATGTACGAAGAATCTCTGAACTCACAACTACAGTTCGAATTTTTATTTCATTGCCAAGATTCGTTGAAGGATTTTAAATGTCACGAACGTGTGAGGAATGTTAATAGTGGCTTTTTTAATAAATAAAATTACCAAGTAATCTGAAATATTACACATCTGTGGCGATAGTAAAAATACGAATGTTCGTAGTTATGAGTTAAATTGATATCATTATCTAGTTCCTATTAGTCCTACCTAACGTAAAGCGATTTCTTTTGCGAGGTCCTCATGAGGGTGCCTGTCATCAAATTCTGCTGAGAGATCTGTTGTTTAAGATCATGGATCTTAGCCTCGAATCTGTTGTAATCTTCGGGCTTATACTGCACCACGATCGTCACTGTCTGCCCGGTACCCTGGATACAAATATTACAAAATTTTCAGTTACTAAATACGATCGAATCAATTACGACTGGCACAGTTTGATTCATTTCTTTGCTCGGAGATGACAATTCTTAAAATATATCAAAAAATTTGGAAGTATTTCTAGAATTCGATGATCGAACTCGATAATAATCGAACACGAATATCTAGTAAGAAATATAGAGATGCTTTGAAGATACCTTAAGGGCCGCGGCGGCCTCTTCATGGGTGGCTGTTCGAAGATTAATGCCATTGACACTGAGTATCTGATCGCCGCGACGTAGTTCACCGCTGAGGTCGGCGGGACCTCCGGCTAGGATGAAGGAAATAAAAATTCCCTCGCCATCTTCGCCACCGACAATATTGAAACCCAGGCCGGAGGAACCTTTGTTGAGCACGACTGTACGTACCTCTCTGTAAAAATAAAAGATGCTATTTAATTATCACATTCAATTTACCTTAGTCGTTCACTACTTCCGATTATCATGTAAGTCATTTCAGGGTCACATTGACCAACTTCAAAGTAAAAGAATTCCTAAAGAACAACTTCAAAACTAAATTGAAAAGCATCGAAAAATGATGATTTTGCGCACAATGTTTTTTAAGTTCATCTCAGAATTTACCAGTGTGTGTGTCATCTTGCAATGAATGAATTTACACAAATAAGTCATAAGTTATGTACTTATGTAATGAAATTAACAAATGAACAAAAAGTGGAGTTGATCAGCTTGATTTTAATCGACTTCTTTAGATACGCTGGTAAAATCTCTTTATTTGTCAGTAATGTACATATGTTATTCGTACATATATATCGTTCTCTAACTTTCACGAAAACAAACATCTTTTTCTTTACTAAGAAATATTTCTCATTTTGAATAAAAGAGGCAACATGATTTTCGAGCCGCTCTTTTCCTCCAGTTAATCTTTAGAGTGCTATGGAAGCATATTTGTGTGAGATAAATATAAATGCATTCCTTATATATAATGCATATATTTTATATCAAAAATCTACTGCTTCCAAACAAAAATTTAGTGAATTTCATTTGGCGTTGATAAGAGTCTTTTAGAAAAATAATAAATAAATGGTAGGAGAAGGAAAGAGAAAGTCTGAAGATATACCATTTCGTTTAATTGATAGGCATTTTCCATAAAAAATACTCTAATCGTGCCGGTACAACACAATTATCAAGAAGAAAATGTGTTGTTTGTGTAAAAAATAAGAGAAGGAGCGACACGCGATACGAATGCAGAAAATGCGATGTCGCATTATGTATCGATAATTGTTTTGAAATTTTTCGCACACAACTGAATTATTAACTTGTGTTATATTTACTAAATTTAGTTTTCTAGTTTATTACCCAAATTCTAGTTTATTGTAAATTTCAATGTTTATAATAAATGATTAATACTAAAAAATAACGCTCTTGAATCATTTAATCTCGTGCAAAATAGTCGTTATATAGTTTGAATAATTGAATAAATTGAATAATAATAGTTTGAATAGTCAATCAACAGAGTTCGGTCTAGCGAAGAAGTACTTCGTCCACAGCGGTCGTCAGCGCTGGCCGCGCGCCGCCCGTACGGACCGCATAGGCCACGAGTATTCAGCACTCTAAGGGTTAAAGGGTGAAAGTCTTTTCACTATGGACTCAAGTAGTATCGAGGTCTTAAAGTATGTCGCCAGTCATTAATTGCTTCGCGTCTCGTAGTATTTTTAATTAAAGTCATTGGTTTAGAAGAACAAGCCGTGCGCGTTAAAGTAGTTCTTCAAAGTAGCATGATCGCGACACGGCTGATCTCAAGGTGTACTCTTCCAATAAAACACTTAAAATCATCATATAATTCCGATATATCTGATGAATTCATAGGTTAAATAAATCGCGAATATCAGGTTAAAAACGAATGAAACGAACAATTCAAAGGGAGAAATTCAATTTATTTTCTTTCCCTTCTTCCGCTTATTTTCTTGTTGAAAAAATACATATGTATATAATTATATACGAAATTCCTTGCACATTTTACAGAAGAGTCATTTTTATTTAAATAAAGTAATATAAAGTTTTATTGCGAAAATGTTAGACATTCTACCAAGATGACTAAACACTATATTATTATTATTTTATATATTAAAAAATAATTGTGTTATAATAATAAATAATAATTATTCATTAGTGAATGGAAGCTTTTATGGGTGGATATTAACATATAAACCAAAAATAAAGCAACATTTTTTGTTACCACATAGAATTCCGCTGTGAAATTTTGTAGTATTTTATTTGAATAAAAATGACCTTTCTATATGACAAGTGAAGACCTGTTCACAATACAATTATCCTGGAGAACGTACTAATTTCCTATTCAAATTTTGCAAATTTTCTATTTAAATTTTATTCGAAGAACAGAGAGTTTAATTAAGATCGACGAGGTTAATCGCAAGACAGGTAAATCTCACTCGACCATCTATTCTCGTTACGAACACACTAGATGCGAAGAAAAGAGGAAACGCGAAATTCCTTGCTCTGGTCGAGAGCTCTGAAAGCTTAGGCAGTTAATCACCACGCAGTTGGAATCGAGTTCCCGTAGGCGTCTCTCTGTCGCGGAACACACAATTCCCGCGTCGACAGACGGAACACGAAACAATTTGTGAACGGAACCTCGTTTCTCCACCTGGTCGATGCATTGTGTGTTGGATGACGCGATTTTAAAGGCCGAGACACGTACAGGGGCTCGTTTGTCAATATTCTATGTTTGAGCTACCAGTTTATATCAATTGCACAGATACTCGCGCTTGAATCGAATTGGTGTAAACGAGGAGTGGTAACACGCATAAAGAAACCGTATTACCATGAATAATGTAATAAAGTAATAAAAATTTCTGTGTAGAACGAAGAGAGAGAAATTATTATTATTATTATTGTTATTATTGTTGTTGTTATTATTATTATTATTGGTATTATTATTATTCTTATTATTGTTATTGTTATTATTGTTATTATTATTATTATTATTACACTTAATTGGAAATCGTGTGGTTTAATAATCCAATTTGTCTCGGATTTAACTAAAAATACTTTTAATTCTTTGGGTTTAGGTTAACTACAAGTAGGAATTCTTAAATAAAATTACTTTATCGCAATCTATCCCGCTATGCTAGTTAATTTTCATGGCATTAATATGCGTAGGCAAATATATCTTTTTATATATCATAGAGAAATTGGGTCATTTATGTCTGTTTACCGCTCTGCGCTTTAAGAAAATCTGAAAAAATCACAGACAATTAACAATGCCTTTACTACGTTATAGAATCGTTTCTTAATTCAAATGCTTGAAACTTTCTTCGTGAAAAATAAAATTCAAAAATTCTAATTTAATTTAGATTGTCAATGTCTCAGTTTGTTTATGGATTATTAATTTGTCCCAAAAAGTTATACCAATATTATTATTTAATTATTTCTGTAGCGGCACATGAGCTAGAGGACAATTCGAATCATGTTGTTTCGCCTCGGAGTATCAATATCGTTAGGATACACATAATGTAATAATAAATAAACTCCGGGCAAAACGATGTCTCCGCTACGTGCAACCGTCAAGCAAAGACGACTTTAAATTTTCCGGTACTCCCCCGACCAGTATAAATAAACGAACGCGATCGCAAGACGAACAGTTTTATCAGTCTCAGTCTCGAGCGATCTTATTAGCGATCTATATACAGTCTTTAGTGAATCAATTTGTATCAAGCGTCTTAGTGAACATTCTGTGTATTTATTTATTATTTTAAGTACACTTGACGATTTTAACATCGAGTTATCTCGTCATTTAAACCTTACAATCAACCATTCACCACATGTCTAATCACATTTCCATAATTACTCCAATTTTCCTTGTCTTACGAAGAACGACTTCTTATCTACAGGGTGGTTGGTAACTGGCGGTACAAGGGGAAAGGGGGTGATTCTACGTGAAAAAAGAAGTCGAAAATATACAATAAAAATTTTTAAAAATATACACAATTCATTTTCCCTTTAAAAATTAAAAAAACATTTCTATAATTTAACATCAAGACAGTAAATTATGTATACCACTAAATATGACTGTTTCAAAAGGCGACTTTAGAGCGTACGCAGCTACGTCAATCACCACACGAACACGAGTATCATGTTGTCTCGAGATTGCTTTACAACCCCCTCTCTCTTCGTAGCAGAGGGCGGCAGATTTCCGGAAATATTCCACGACGTGCATAATACGCATTCACGTGACAGAATTCATAGACGAGCGAAATTATCGCGTTAATTAAGGTTCCTATTGAAATTCGACCGTTTCAGATCGCCCGTGCAGCAGAGCTCGAGTATTTGTCGCTACGAACAAGCCAAGGATTCACGAAAATGACAAGTAGTCGAGAACATGTGTCGTCGTCTCAAAGATTTCTATGCGTCCAACAGACTCGAATTTCGTGAAAATGGATCTTACATACGATATCTTTCAGCTTCCTCCTATTTCGCTCCTCATCATGCTGAGGGTCTATTGTAGTTGTTCGAGAGAGATTTGTTGTTTCGTGACTGGTATCATGCGATAGGCATGGTATGATATGCATGATAGTATCTTAGCATTCGTGAGATTGAGTATGGAATAGCTTGCATATCGCGCGAGCTGGTATTCGAGGCAATAGTCATTTGAAAATGTGTTGCTTGATTGTTACAATTACAGTTCATTGTTCGTCTCGAATATACAGACTCAGCGTTATTAAGTTTGATTAATTAAAAATTGTCGCAGTTCAATTTTATTCCGGAACGTGATTTTGTTAGAATTGCTATTTACGAAATTTCAAGATATTTAGGATTTTATGTAGGATTACTATTTGCTTAATTGCCATAAATTAATTGTGACATCGTCGAAATCGAGTTTGTGATTGAAAAAAAATTTCCAAAATTGAGTTCGACGAAGACTAAGTCATCCGAATTCCACTGTCACAACCAGAGAATTCAGAATATTGGTTAGCTGATTTAGGGAGTTGTCCGTAATCAAGTTCTACAAGCAGATACTATGGGCAGGATTGGGGTTGAGTGTTCGGGACACATCGTCTAACACAGATTCGAGACCATCGATATTCACTCGTATCACTGTATGCCTAACAGCACTACAACACTACAGTGCTACAGCAATATAAAATAGCACTAATTGTTAATTCGATTGCTTGGTCAACTTTTGTTTTAAAATAATATTTGCTCAGATTCTTTACGAATGAGAGATTCACGATACACGACTTGGAAGCCGCGTAAAGGCATTAACGTTGCAGCGAAGTCAACAAAGCACGAAGCCATAAGGTTTTCACAACTGCAGCCCGGTCCTTGACGTTTCGTGGTATAAAGCTCATCAACGAACACTTTGTAAATATTCTACGGTTAAATGTCATAGAACTAAAAATGCCGGGAGGCACGAGCGGAGTGTAAGCGCTGGCTGCACGAGTCGCGAAACCTCGAATCACATGCTGGCAACTGGATAGCCTTAATTAAAGCTGCGCCCGCAAAAATCTCAACGAACCACGAATTTTCGCGAAACTCGAGAGAGACACGAGTAGTCCTACACTCTGTTGCTAAAGGAAAATGCTCAGTATCCTAATTAAGATCTCAACATTTTCGAGTCTATTCAGCCATGGCTTATTGCTTTACGAGAGTAGCTCCACCATATCTCAAAGCCAATTGAACTTCGCATCAAAAATCTAGGATTAATCATCTTCCCTTTCTACGAGTTCCACTGCCCTATTCCTCTCTTTGTCTTTACGTTCGCCCAGAGGGAGGATTTCATCCCTGAAAGGTCGATTTTCATTCCGTTTCAGTGGAGCCACTCAACGCACCAGCTTCTCGCTTGCGTTAACAAAGACCTCAAATTAGTGGTCGGCCGGTGCAGCTGCGTTTCCAGGGCTCCATTAAGGTCACGTCGCAATGCACACGTCGGATAAACTGAGGGGCGATACAGTGCACTAGCGATGCCAAATTTAATATGAGTTTTGGAAACTCAGTGTACATTCGATGATCGTCTAAAGTATTTGTATTAGTAATTGTATTAGTAATACAATTAGTAATTTGTATTAGTAATAAAGTATTGTATTGTACTTTATTAGGTTTATCAGACTGATCGACTGGTGCTTGTTCGAATAATTTTATTGATTATTAAGAAGTTTTATGGAACGATGAACAATGTTGGGGAAGCTTCAACGTATTCTTGTGTTGGCGGGAAATGACTGACATTAACGGGGAACCAGTTAGGAAACAAAAGAAAAAAATACGAGAGAGAGAGAGAGAGAGAGAGAAACGGCCGCAGTGCAAGTCGGTAACGATTATTCCATAGAGAAACTATATTTAGCCGGTACCACAGCAAAGCACGAAATGTCAATACGTTGCGTGGTGTACCATACAGTATCGCACAACAAGAGTTCGAAACTGCTAAAACTGTTGAATGTCCGACATGTCTTATTCTTTTTCATTTAGAAACCTATTTTGAATAGGTATATGCTAAATAAGCACACATAAATGATTATATGTTTTCATAAAAGATATCCTGATAAATATGCAATAATGTGTTCTTAGTGGCTAGATTCACTTTTCTATAATAGTCAAAAGAACAACCATTCAATTGCTTTTCAAACGATTTAAAGAGATATGAAAGCTTTGTGCAACATTTCATCAGAAGCTTCTGCAACTCGGGTGATCACAGTCACGGTCGAGGACCCGTCTGATCATGAAATATTTATGACAACGTTGACCAAGAGTACGATTTCATGGTTAATTGACCGTTCATGAGAACGGTCAGCCTATCCATGAATGACTTCATTTCGTTAGCTCAACACGAGGACTACCTCGAGAACGTCGGCTTTAAACAGCGACGCTTCGTACCCACCGAAAGCTTGTCCTTCGATCCAAAATGACCACATCGTCGTTGCAATCCCTGTGGAATGCAGCTTGACGAGAATCTACGGAGTTGAAACTTCGGTAGAAGTGCATAGTGGCTTTTATTAAAAATTGTAATTCGAAGCTTTGTTGCGTCATTACTTGAAATGAAAAATGGCTTCATTTGAGAGGTTAGGATTGTAAAGGAAGAAATGTATTCCTTTGAAGTCTCAATTTAAAAGCAGCTCTGACGTATCGAATTTCTGAATTTTGTCAAGGATCCCACATAAAATGACGACACATTCCGAATAATAACCAACATATTAGGAAACACGAGTTGCTTCTATGTTGTAAAAGAACATAGAAGCAATTTGTATTCTTTTCGAGAATATAAATGTTTATCCTTATGGACTGTTCAGAATATATGAATAATAAACTTATTTATATTAACCTGAGACTATGCCTTCAATTCTTAAAATATATATTAAAAACAGTTTCGATCTCTCCTCGAATTTCAATTTCATCTGTTCAAATATCCTTGACACGCAATACAAAAGTACCTTTCAACTATTAATAGATCCTCGAATGAAAATACCTATCACCTATTTTTGCTTCGTTCCACGCTCGATCTGTCCTCGATTAATCGATCTCGGTCTACAAAAACAATTTTCCCCAAGGATACCTGCCTCGAAAGATTTCTGTGGAATTGTATACCCGTTTAATTCGTGGGTAGAGACGTCACTGGCGCACGCGACTTTCAGCTGATCCAGGCTTACCTGCGCAATGCGTCCGAAACTGCGATACATGCATGTTTCGCACGCACCTGTTCGACGCGGTTCCGCAGTGACGCGATTAACACCGGAAACAGAAATGTCACTGGGTCAAGAGGTTTCGATTCCAATTCGAATTAAATTCAATTTCGTTTCTTAAAGCTCCGGTTCTATTGCATGGATTCTACATATTGATCAAATAAAAAATATCTACGCGTTCATCTTACAGACGTTTTTAAAACGATCGAAAAATAAACGAGCACGAGTTGCTTTCTCTGGGTTCATTTCTCTATCCTTTCCACGAATCGATAATTTTTTAGCAGTCTGACCAATTATTGGCTTAATCAGCCAGCATGGCAATTTACATTAATCATTTGTACGCCATGGCCCAGCGAACGTTTGTGGGTCAAGGGAGCCGCGCAACTTTCGACTCGACAGTGCAAAATTCACCTCAAGCTTTATGAATAGCTTCCAATGATGTTCAGGATAGTTCTCCGTGAAATAAACTTAATTTATAATTCTTATTAATCTTACACGACACTGAGCTTTTCTTGAAGATACGTCGAGGAGAGAACAAGAATCGAACGTCGAGAGAACGTCAAGAGAAAGTGCCAATGCAATGACGATCCTCAACTCGAGTGGATGCAACGTCACGGAAGCACTTTCATTAAATTACACGTACTTGCTGGTAGAGTGGCTGATTTATGGTATGGAAGCTTGTAAGAAAAGCAAGATCAGCACGATCACGTAAAGCATAGAAACGAAGCATATCATCGGTGCACACGATCCAGCTGTCAGCAGCTGCTCACCTCGAATTACTTTCGTAAACGAGCACTGGTCACTCATCCGATTCAGTCAGTGGCAGCTGACCAATCGGCGATTCTCCATTGAAAAAAGCACACCGTGTTCGAAAAGCTGCGCACACCGCGTCGCGCGACGCACGCTGCGCTTGTGCGTGTTCGCAACTGCGACGCACCTGTTCCCTTGGCAGTGACGTAACACAAATCCTGGCCAGGGGTGCCCCGATTTAGATGTCTCCACTAAAACTATCTTCGACCGTAAACAGAAAGAAATGGTAAAAACGACGCGATACTTGACAACCAAGTTCGAGACTTGAAGAACTCGCGAGAGGATCCTGCGACAAACACGGTTCCGTCTCAAACACGTCCCGACGTCGAGGGCGTCGCGACGGATTAAAGGCCGCATAGGTGGCCGCCGTGTCGCCATGCGCCGCGCCACCAAGCCGGCCTCCGCGGGCTATCATCAGATCGATAGAAATAAGCTGACTCTCGTATGCTTCCACCACTCTCGCCACCGTCAGCCCCCGATCTCTCTACAATAATCCACCCCTTAACTCCTACTCGACTTTTCCCCTATCGTGGAAACGGGGCCAAACGGAGGGAAGTTTTCGCGGAAGGGCTGCCACCCCTCGCACTTTCCGTTTTTCCGTACGTCTAGAGCTTCCGATGTTTTGTCTCGTTTTTAGGGTGGTTTATTTTAGGCTGCTGGATTTCGGAGGGTGAGATGGGGGAGATTAGAGGCTCATTAATTGGAGGGTTGATAATCATAATGGTGTTACTCAGCCTGTTGCGTGTTCCCATGAAATAATATTTATTACTATAAAAAATTGGTCATATTTTTTCAAATTATGAAAACGTATCGTGGTAGAAAATAAAGTAATTCTCAAAATTTTCATTTACACGATTACGATTGTCAATTAATTTGTGGAATTTGTGGATAGAGAATTATTTGAATATCTAGACAACTAAATTAATGTCTGTGCAGTTCTGATAAGGTGATTGGGGAAAACGGAGAATTTACAAAAAAAAAGGAGAGAATGAGTTGCTTTTGTTCGACTTGATTACCCAATTGTATATTTTGCAAATTCTCATTTAGTCATCGTATCGTATCGAATGAATGATCGTCTGCTGATTCAGCATAGTAATCAAACAATACTTGTCACTGAATATGATTAACATATCACATAGGTGTCTTTCTTCGTCTTTACAGAAACCACTCTTGATCCACAACAGGACACAATCGTGTTTTTCAGGAAATTCAGTATACTCTGGATTAATAAACATAGAAAAAAGTCTGTTCGTACAAGAATGAATGAACTATTGAATGAACGCGCCAATGAATAGACACACTTGACCGACATTTTGACGGAACAACCTCATATGCATCTACATCCGCTCGCTTCAATGACGAACTCTGAGACAAGCGTGTATGGGATTTGTACAGGCGTGGATCGCAGTTAATTGCAACGGCGAATGTAATCGCTGACCAGCCTTGCGAGAATGGAAATTTCACTCGAAGGTATCGCTCCTTCCATTGACCTACTTACACACCGCACCATATGTCGCACATCCGCGTCCGTGTGTTTCAAATATACATACATCATCTGGTTTTCCAAAAGTTCCTCGTCGTGCACGATATACGTGAAATATTTTTGAAAACCGAACGTTCTCTGCTCGAAATTGCATTATAAAATAGCGCTACCGCAATAGATGTGCAAACTTCGCTACTTAATACTCGTTCTTTTTTTTTTTTTTTGTAAAAATTTTATACCGTAAATTGTTAATTTGAAATTCAGAGTTTGTGATTTTATAGATATCGAATAATTTAGTTTTACTGCAAAATGTGCAGGTTTTCTTGCAAAACGATTACCTTTTATGATTTTCTAATTAATTTTTCTAAATTTTATCTAAAAGGCAACGAAGGACGTATCGAATGACGAGGCGTTAGCGAAATATGTCGAGCAAAAGACGTTTAATATCGGGATCAAAATGTCAGCGTGGAGATCTCGTATTATCAGGCAAACACTGGAACACGCTTCAGGGGGATAAAAGCTCACGAGGCGTTCCACGTGATCACGTTCCTGATCTATCTCAAATCTCGTCAAGGAATCACGATCCCCCACCAATATGCTGATAAACGAAGGAAGTCTCCGCTAGTGATAATACAGGGGTAAGTATTTAGAATGCTAATAGTGCAAGCTTTTACCGATAAAGTAATAAAACATCTGCAAGTATTATATTAAACAAATTACTCGACGATCATCTATAATATAATACAAACAATTTTTCCATGTTACTTTACATACAAAAAATTAAAGAAAAGAACTTCAAAGATCTTTAAGATATAGTATATTCCAATATAATAAAAATTTCTACAGTAACTGTCAAAAACTCGTACAGTATTCGATTTCTCAACAGAAATTCTCAACAAACTTCGGGGGAACACAGATTGTTGGACATTATCCTCAATCAGCCACGCGTTAATGGCACTCCTTGGAATTGTCTTAGGAAATCCGGGGAATCCGGAGACATTTGGACCCGGTTGCCTAGCTTTCGTTGAAATTAAAAGTACCGACGAATGTGAGCCGGCAGATTGTACGGCGTACTTCGGGAAAATGGAGAATTACCGTCGAAACAAACTTGTCATTTCATTAAGCAAATGAAAAGGTTCCGTTTTACAAGCGTCGTCCTTCCGGATTACGTTCGACCGGCCGTTTGTGTATTCGTTTAATTAAAAGCATTGCCCAGGTGGACCCGACGACGGCGCCGTCAGTCGACGAACTTTAATCAAGCTGGACTTGACCCAAAAACGTTGAAACAGCACGGCACTAGAGTCACGGCCGTGAAGA